CGCTAAAGACCTCGTAGTCGATGCGACGCTAAACCCCCATTTAAAAAAAAAAAAAAAAAACCGGTTTTTAACCTGGACAAAGCCATTGTTTTTTTTTATATCAATTGCTGTAAAGGATCCATTTTTCGTCTCCGATACGAATTCTTTTCAGAAACGGATCGGTTTCATACCTGGTCAGCAGTGAAGAACAAATGGCCACTCGCTGATTTAAAGCGGACGGCGATAGATCGTGCGGAACCGAAAACCTCCTGCCTGTGTTTTATGCCGAATCCTTTTAAATGATCTCTTACAGTCGACCAGGAACAGCCGATATCCTGCGACAATTCCTTCGCACATATATATCCCCCTCCCCAATGGTTTTACGCGGATCTGATTCCACCAATGATTTCAACACGTCGTCAATTGTTTGTGGTCTTCCCGAATTCGGCTTATTCTTAAGATTTCGGTCGCCGTTTTCAAATTGTTCGAACCATCGTTGGCATTTACGGGTATTCAAGATTTCGACGTAAGTTTCATTAATATTTTTTGTAGCTTTTTTGGGCTTTAATTCTTTATCAAACAAAAATAACAAAATACATCGCAATTGCACCTCTTCGACCTTTGGCTTTGACATTTTTACTATCTGTAAGTGTAAATGAAATTAAAACAGTAATAGAATGAACAGAGCTTCTAAATAATACTAACAATTAACGTACTTAATCGGCGCAGTTGTACGACAATTGGTTTCAAAATGACACACAAAAAAACGACATTACTTTTCGCTCTACTTAATATTAAGCTTTTTGTAGCATGTTGGTATTCAAAAATCTTTCTGTTACGTGATAATATTTTATACTTTAAAGAAAAAAAAAGACAAGTGTCTAAGTATTTTTGAACATATTTTTACAATAGATAAATATATTAAAAATTATATAATCCTTTAAAAAAAAATACACTCCATATATTCCAATATCACAATAGTTTTAACATAAATACATGGTTATAAAATAAATCTTCTGACGAGCCAAAAAATTAAAAAATAATAGACCAATCAATTTAATCATAGAAATACAACTGAACTTTTATATTTCTGAAAGCAGTGCAAATCTCGAAACACAAAATCTTTCTATCATGAAATCTATAATTTCATAAAATAATATTGAGTAAGTATAAGATGATATTAACTGCATAGTAACTAAAAACTTTTTCAATCTGAATTAAATAAAGTTAAATAAAATTTCGTAATTATAATCGCCGAATATAGTAAATTCAAACAAAAGGAATATGAATTAACTTATTCAGAAGCCTGCAGTTATTCGCTGATACTTCATATTCTATCAAATTATCAGTTTGAAATGAATTTAAATGATTTGAATAAATTGAAAGTTATTCCACGGAACCTAGAATCTGAAAACGCAAGTTCATTCAACAAATATGCTTGATACGTTTACACAAACAAGAAAAAAGAAAATTGTGTTACTAATTTCTTAATCACACAACGAAAATCGTAAGCAGAAAACTAATGCAAAATTAAAATTATCAATTAAATAAAAAATGAACAAAATTTACTGCATAATTGTAAAAAAACAATTATTAAATAATCACTTTATAAAAGAACATAGTTAATATTTTATAATATGTTTATATAAAATATATTGTTTAATACATATATCTTATTTTTAACATCATGATGAAAATTTTATTTTTATTAAGTAATAATATATCTAAAACTATATTTTTATTTATCGATTTTGTATGATGCAATCAAAATCCGTTTTATTAAAAGACATTAAAATTACCTAAATTTACTTCGTTTCGCAATTAAGTTATTAACGCAATTTGTAACTCTAACTATAAAGCATATCAATTAAAAAAATATATCCTAAATTATGCAAAATCTTGAAAAAAATCTGTGTTATAGGTTATAAAAAAAATTTTTAATATAGAATAATAAAAGAAACTCTCATTGTTCTCTTTTTTATCTAATTTAGAAGTATTACAAAATTATTTCTTACGACCTTGTCTGTTATAAAATTAGTTTAAATGAAATATTTAAGACAGAGACTGAAAACCGAAATATTTTGAGGTTTAGGTATTATACCGGTAAACTGAAACCGAAATATTGTAGGTTTAAGTATTATACCGGTAAACTGAAACCGAAATATTGTGAAATTTAGGTATTATACCGGTATTTGGGAAATCGGTTTTAATACCGGTACATACCGGTATGGTACCACTTTACTGACGAAAACCCATTTTTCATTTTCTACGTACAGTGACTCTTATTAATATTCGGACAT